GTCAAGAGCTCTTGACAAAAGCTTGGGGGTTTAGTAAATAAATTTTAAAATTTCTAAATTGTATATGTTTTACTCTCTTGGTGATCAACTATTTATTGTTTTAAAATATGGATACACCCCAGAGTCATGTTTTTACTTGTGTAGATAGATAGATAGATAGATAGATTAGATAGATAGATAGATAGATAGATAGATAGATAGATAGATAGATAGATAGATAGATAGATAGATAGATAGATGATAGATAGATAGATAGATAGATAGATAGATAGATAGATAGATAGATAGATGATAGATAGATAGATAGATAGATAGATAGATAGATAGATAGATAGATAGATAGATAGATAGGAAGTAGATGATGGAGAAAGATAGACAGATAGAGAGCGATTAGATTAGATAGATTGGACATATAGATTATAGATAGGAGATAGATGATAGAGAAAGAGATAATTAGATAGATTGGATAAATTATAGATGATAGATAGATAGACAGACAGACAGACAGACAGACACATAGACACATAGACAGACACACAGATAGATAAAGAGATAGATTGGACATATAGATTATAGATAGGAGATAGATGATAGAGAAAGAGATAAAGAGATAATTAGATAGATTGGATAAATTATAGATGATAGATAGATAGACAGACAGACAGACAGACAGACACATAGACACATAGACAGACACACAGATAGATAAAGAGATAGATTGGACATATAGATTATAGATAGGAGATAGCTATAGAGAAAGAGTTAGATAGACAGATAAACAGGTAGGTTGGATAAATTGATTATAGATGGTAGAGAAAGATAGATGATAGATAGATAAGAAATAGAGAAAGATAGACAGATTGGATATATAGATTATAGATAGGAGATAGAGAGATAAAGAGAGATTAGATTAGATTAGATAAATTGGCTAGATAGATTATAAATAGAGAAGATAGAGAAATAGAGATTAGATTGGATAGATAGATTATAGATAGGATGATATAGAAATGATAGATAGATAGATAGATAGATAGATAGATAGATAGATAGATAGATAGATAGATAGATAGATAGATAGATAGATAGATAGATAGATAAAGAGATAGATAAAGAGAGATAAAGAGATAGATAGATGATAAAGAGATAGATAGAGATAGATAGATATGGATGGATGGATGGATGGATAGATGATAGATTAGATTAGATAGATAAAGAGATAGACAGATAGATAAAGAGATAGATTAGATTAAATAGATGATAGATAGATAGATATGGATGGATAGATAGATGATAGATAGATTAGATAAAGAGATAGACAGATAGATAGATAGATAGACAGATAGATAGATAGATAGATATGGATGGATAGATAGATGATAGATTAGATAGATTAGATAGATAAAGAGATAGATAGATAGATAGATAGATAGATAGATAGATAGATAGATAGATAGATAGATATGGATGGATAGATAGATGATAGATTAGATAGATTAGATAGATAAAGAGATAGATAGATAGATAGATAGATAGATAGATAGATAGATAGATAGATAGATAACCTTTATTGTAGCACTGGCACACATTAAAAATGAAATTCTGTTCCTTGCCTGCCCCCGATGGCCAAGAGGGGTACTTCTGCCACCCCTTCTCTTCTGTTGTTGGGGGGGAGGAGGGGGGGGGCTGATCTTCCCTCAGGGACCCCGAGGGGGGAGGGGGTCTCCGGCGGTGAGGGGAATCCTCAGGCTCCCCCTTTCTCTCGCAGGGGATTGTGGGAAACTTGTCCAGCGGGAAGTCGGCCTTGGTGCACCGCTACCTCACCGGGACCTACGTGCAGGAGGAGTCCCCGGAAGGTCAGTGGGGGGGGTCCCGCACGGCACCCCACTTTTGGCTGCTCCCCTGGGAATGGGGGGTGTGTGGCTTTGGGGTATTAGGCAAGCCCCAGATAGACCCCGTCAGCTTCCCCACTTCTGGGGGTCCCGAGAAGGGGGCGGCCCTTCCTAGCCCCTCCCAGTGCCCCCCTGAAGTGCTGCAGTGTCCCCCCCCCGCGTGCAGAGGCAGTTCTGTGCCAGCCTGGCCGCCTCTGGGGTTTGAGGTCCCTGGGGTCATCCATCTCACCCTCTCCAAGCCGGGCCTTGGGGGCTGCTTGTGCCGTCAGCTCTCCCTCTTCTTCCCCCCAAGAAGTGGGGGGGGGCTCCTGGTCCAGAGAAGACGCAGCAAGTGCCCCAGAAATTGGGGTGGGGGCAT